CCACCCCTTGTACTTAAGACAAAAATTGCTGGTGAACGGAGTTAATTTTTCTCCTCGTTATAGTTAACACCCACTCCCCGCTAAGATACAAAAATTTGATCGTAACACCCCCGACATCAAAAGTGTCCCTCGGCCCATATATCTCCCTGGACATGGACATGAACCCCGAACTTATCCTCTCCGCGATGGAATTCTTAATGTGGATGAAAAATTCATCCAGGGAAAGGCGAAGAAATTGATGTTTCCCCGCTTTTCCCCACCCGTAGGATAGCACATACGGGGTCATGGAGGGCAAGTCCAGACCGACTCGCACGTGCTTGCCCATTGAGTCAGTCAGGTGGTAGTCCTTCCAATACACTTCTCTGGGGCGCACGTGCATGCCTTCGGGTGGATCGACAAAGTTGTCCAATGCGTCATCGTCTTCGATAGTCTGAAAAGATACAAATAAGAAAAATTAGTGGTGCTCACGATTATAGAAGAAAGGGGGTAGGCATGGCCAAAAAACAGATCAACTAAAAAATGAGAGAAAAACTTACATCGGTCGGAATGGTTGATTCCGGAGTGGGGGTGCCCGCAGGGACCGCCGCCGGTGTCGGATGTTGGGCTTCTACCGACGAAGGGCCTTGGTCCAAAAAGGGGGTGGTGGTCACTTCCGGCGGCTTCTGATCAGAGTTCTGAAAGAAAACAGGTCAATCATATATTACTTTTTCGCCGTGCGCATTAATACGAAATCAAGACTAGAAAAAATAAATAAAGAACTTACACATATTTCGGTACAAGTCTCTTCAAAGTCTTCCATGGTGAGACCCAATTCTTCGACAATGTCCCGCAACACATCCCTCGGGACAATGTCGGTGGTCTTTTCCTTCCCCGGGGCCAAGGTCGCCTGCTTCTGCTTGGTCTTGGAGAGAGACAGTGTCAACGGTCGCTTCGGCATCTTCGCAAAGCAAAGAGGACAGAGTGGATGAAGGTAACCTAACCTAACCACAGCCGCGCTGGTCGAGGAATGGGTGCACCAGGGCTACTCAGCCGCGCTGGTCAGGGTAGGATGGGAAATGTCGCCCTGGACCAAGGTCCACGCATTTATATATCCGTGAGATAACGAAGAGGAGCAGCTCTGAAGGTAAGGGTCCGGTGAAATGAAGTTTTTCTACAGCTTTAGAGTAAAACATTTTATGTTTAGGTGTGTTGTAGGGGTTGTAAGAAAAGTAAATTTGACCACAATCTCACCTCTGTAGGTCAAGCCGTTCCCAAGTTACACTAATTTAAGTGTTTAAAATAGCTCAACTTTGGCGAACTACTTGCGCAACACAGTACGGAGTACGACCCAACGCATTGGCAGCTGTTTTTTTAAATCTTTTTCTGAGGTCTGATCAGTGAGACATTCGCAATTTTTCTATTCAGGCAGCATCCACAATTTTTTTTAAATGTCTCCTAAAAAAATTAACGTTTTTTGCCGGTTTTGGCCACTTTCAGAGCTGTTATAAAAAATCTAAGAAGAAATTGAGAAAAAACTCACTGATCGATCCTTGAAAACACTACCTCACAACCTGTTGCGCAAGAAGTTTTTCAAAGTTCCACAAAATATACTCTATCAACAACAGGCTTTTGTCGAAAATGCCAGAAAAGCCATTGGGCAGACCGATCTAAAATAGAAAAGTAAAGATGTTTTGTGAAGTTTAAATGGTTTACCCAAAGGAGAGAGGTCCAAACAATGTTTTTTTCGGCGAAAACTCATTTAAGAATATTTGTACAAAAATTGCAATTTTTTCACCGGACCCTTACCTGAAGAGCGATGCGTTTTGTATGAAACAATGTACTTTTACGAAAGCGATGTAGTCAATGACATTAAAGGTGAAATAAAATTTTATTTCCTTGTCGATCATTTACCCTATACGCCACGAAAGAGAAATGCACAAAAGCACTAGTCTACACAGCCATAAAGAACACTCTACTCATCGCAATGAAATATGACACCGCTACACTTCCAGAAACACTCTGTGTGTAGCCCCCTCCGCCAGCTCCACTTCGCTGCGCCGGGCACTCCGTTCGGCAGGGGCCGGGCCTGCTTGGCCTGCCGGCGGTGATTTTAATACAAATCGCCCTTCCAGTGTTGTCTCCGCGGAGAGCCGCGGCCGAGGGGGACGCGCTCGGCGTCGCCAGTCGGCAGTCGCCCGCGAGTCAGAGAGGAGTGTGGAAGTAGCAATTATTAACAGCAATTACCCAGTATAGTGAGAATATAGTGAATGTACTGAAACCAGTTAACACAGTCATTACTCCAGACCGATCCAAGAAGCTGGCCAACGAAACGGCACACGGAAAAAAAAGATTCGCTGAGCCAGCTAATATATTGACTGGTATCTGGACAGACAAGCACATAAACTTCTGTAACCACTATATTGTCTAC